TTTAGGACTCTGCTAGATCTTTTATTAACTGCCATATATATTTTTTTTTTTGCCTTTCAAAGTTTACTTAGTTCAGATACTTCTCTTTTCCCTTTGTTCTTAATACCTGAAAGCAGAGAGAGAAGCAGATGAATATAAAATAGTGAAACACCATAGTGGTTAGTGACATTTAAGTGGAGTTTAGGGAGCCCTAGTGGTATAGTGGTTATGCATTGGGCTGCGAACCACAAGTCAACAGTTCAAAACCACCAACCACTTCTCGGGAGAAAAACAAGACTTTCTACTCCTGAGTTACAGTTTCAGGAACTCACAGGGGCAGTTCTACGCTGTATTATACAGTCACTAAGAGTCAGAGTTGACTCAATGACATTGAGTTTGGTTTGGTTTTAATTTAGGGAAAATTAAGACTACTGGTGGCATAGTGGGTTACACAAGGTCAGTAGTGAGATCTACCAGATGCCTCTTGGGATAAAGATAAGGTTTTTTATTCCTATAAACAATTACACTCTTGGAAACCCACCTGGATCATTCTATCCTGTCTTATAGGGTCTCTGTGAGTTGGAATCCAACTAGATGGCCCTTTTCTTTTTACCTCTTTTCTATAAATGCTAATTAAATATACTGCACCAGACCTTGTGCTTATTAAGTTGTTGTTTTGGTGCCTTTGATCTTACAAATCTTTGTCTATCCTGATTTCATTCCTATGCAAATTGTGCTAACAGTTCATCATACTGTTGCCAACAGAGATGAAGAATCATAATTATGCATTATGTATAAATTGGTCATCTGTGGATTTCCTGACATCTGAAATCAATGATGAAAAATCAGAAGCATCTCTCCTCATTGGGTAGAGAGTTTCCTGTTCCTCTTGGAAATATAATCGGTGAAATAAACTCTTAAACCCACTAGTGAGCATTCCTACTCCCAGAGATCCTTGTGGTGGAGGGCTGATAGGATGAATCTGGAATCCCTCCTTCACAGCCAATTAGCCCTGGGATGAGTGCGAACAGAGACTAGTGATTGAGATGCCTGATTATGGTTTACTTCCATTACTACTGACATACTTAGACAAAATGCACACATGAAAGATGACTATGAGTGATAAATGAAACTGTGTGAATTTAGCTGGCCATGTCTTATGGCTATGTATTGATCTGGAAAGTAAGAAATGAAATCAAATTCTCCTAACATCTTACTCTGTGTGTGTAATGATTAGAGCACCAGCCGAAGAAATGGAAAGTTTTGTGATTAAAAAAAAAATTTCTGCAACTGTACTTAATATCTGTGTGATTTGGGGTAAGTTACTCTATCTAATATTTATGTCCCTTATCTGTAATTTAGAGTAAAAGGGAGAAAGCCTGGGCTTTCTACTCCCATCAACAGTTATAGTCACAGAAATCCACAGGAGGTCGCCATGAGTCCCGGGGATTGGCTCGAGAGCAGTGAGTTTTGAGAGTATTTATTCCTTAGTGAGGTTGTTGTAAATGAATACAGACATTGACTTATGTGTTAGTCCGGGAGAAATGAATCCAGAGACACACATATGTGTATGAGAGAGCTTTACATCAAACAAGCATCCTAGCCCAGTCTGATCTAGTCCATAAATCCCTCTTCAGCCTCACGCAGCCACATGCAGTGATGCAGAATGGCGGAAAATCACAGGCTGATAGGTGAAACGTCTTGTGGGTCGAATGGCAGTGGAAGCATCACAGGGTGCCGATAGGTCTCAGCATGGCTCTCCAAAAGGAAGGTGAAGACAGAGAGAGAAGGGATGTTCCTAGGAACCTCCTTGTAAGGAGTTCACGCCCACAAGGAGCACCATCAGGCTGTGACCTGATTGACAGGCTAGATTCCACCCCTACACTTTTAGACCACAGTAAATGTGTTTAATTATGCATATACAGAAATATATGTATATTTATAAATAGACTTATATTCATATATTTGCAATAATTGATGACATATTTAATAATATATCACTATATGCTGAACTCACTGCCATCTAGTCAATTCTGATTCCTAGGGACTCTATGGGATAGAGTAAAACTGCCTCTTTGGTTTTCTGAGACATTACATCTTTACAGGAGAGACAGTCTCCTCTTTCTTTCACAAAGCAACTAGTGTGTTTGAACCACTGACTTTGTAGTTAACAGCTCAATGTGTAGCCAAAGATAACACCAAATTCCAAACTCACTGCTATCAGGTTGATTCTAACTCACAGAGTTCCCACACTGCTACAACACACACACACACACACACACACACACACACACACACACAAGGTTTAAGAATTTCATGAAAAATGGAATTAAAGGAAGAAAAAAATTTCCATGAAAATTTTGAAGCCCCTTTGTGTATGTGTAAATGTGTGTGTGTGTGTGTGTGTGTGTGTGGTGGGGAAGGCAATGCATTACTAAATATAGTAATATATAACATATTATTAAATATATGTAAGATATTATTAAATGCATAAGATAGTGAAAGGCATGCATATATAGCAATGAATATACACAATGCCTTATATATTAGGCGCAAAAAGAAATGGTACTTTTCTTTGCTTGTGTCATCTACATTGGAACCAAGAGCAGAGTGGATTTCTTAACAGGCAATTACATTTTAGGACCATACTATTAAAACTTCCTTCAAAATATCTACAAGATAAGCACGCTCCTTCTGTGTGAATAGCAATTGTGGATTCAGCTGGGTTTTAATCCGTTCCTCACATGGTCAAACCTCAAGTTAAGACCAGTCAACTTACGGTGGCATGAGGGCCTCACACTCAGGGAAGATTTCATAACTAGACTCCACTGCAACAAAAAAAACTTGTGTCAGTAAATAAGACCTGACAGCTAAAGCAAAGATTAATCTTAATGGCATGCATTAACAATATGCAATTTGAGATTGGCAGTGGAGAATTCTCCCTGAGAACTGGCATTAGTCAGGATGGGTCTTGACATGTGAATACACATGGGCCAGCAAGCATGCTCAGTCAGTATACCTTTTGCCTCCCGAAGACATTAGCATGCTCAGAGACACACGAGATCAAGGAGAGTGGCCCATTTGTTTGCATCAAATCACCATGTGGCACAGCCTGTTTCCATTTAATATAATTGTCATTCAGCAGTAAAGGCTCGCTCAGTAGAACTTAGAAGTGACAGGGAAATTGGATGGAGCTTCAAATGGTTGACTTCAGAAAAAACATGCGACGGCGATGAGAAGTTTCAAAGTTAAGCGCGGTTTTCTACAAAGGCTTGGTGGACTTGTATCCTGGTGGCAATGGCAGAAAGGAACCAGGTTCGGTGATTGTAGATGTTGAGCAGATTTGTTTCATAGAATCCTTGTGGAAGAAGGTCAGATTCTGTATGAAAGAATGATGCCACTCTGATCATGTGCTCCCGGTTAAGGGAGAGAGAGAGCAGGAGATCCAGGTGGGAGTTAGTGTTGCTTGTTGTTGTGTGTGTGCGCGCGCGCACGCGCGCACGCTTGTATAGATCTGAGAAACCCTTACATGCCCTCTAATGTATCTGGAGACAATCAAGCTCACATATTGCATGTCCCTACTGAATATTAGTAGGGGCACCTGACAATTTCTTTACCTTAAAATAAGTCCTCGTATTTTCAGTTTGTTAGTCACTTTCCTGTTCTAATTGTTAGAATGTGATTTGTCTATTACCTTGCCATCATGAGTGGGGGACGAGGATGAAAGTATGGCATGTCTCCTTGTGCAAGAGAAACTCAGATATATTTTATAGTGCCAGAGGTAGAGTCAGATTTAAAACCCAAACGTGTGTGATTTCAAAGCCTAAACTCTTTTTACTCTATCACGTGGCTTTCTGACTCAGATTTCTTTTCTGTTCCATTCTGTCAAAGATTCAGTTCCCGTGGGCAAGCAGCAAACACATGTGTGCAGAATGTGGTGCTATGTTTCTCTGTTGCCCTGAATCTTAGTAACCGGTCGTTTAATGCCATGAACGAGAGAGGGCTGAGCAGTGTGCAGCATGGGGTATGAAAAGGAAAGGGTCTCCAACCATTTGGG